GTCAAATGCAAAATGAAAACGTGGGGCCCCTGGCTCAAAAACTATGAAGAATGTCCAGATGGCGACAGCAGAGCCTGAAACCCAGCTTGGCCACTGTGACTGTGCAGGTTGCATGCTCATGAGGTCAGCTCTGCTCTCGGGACCTCCTGGACTCCTGTGTCCTTCATCCATTCATTTCCAGTTTACTTGTGCAGCTATTTAAAGTTGGTTTATTCCTAGAAGTCCAGGGTCTCCCCAAGAGCAGGGCCTGTGTAGGGTTTATGTGCAGCTGTCTTTCCAGCTCCCAGCACTTCTCTAACACAGAGACACAAATATTCTAGAATGAATGCACAAAAAGGGATGGAGAGGAGACAGAACTGGGAGAAGGAGAGGAGGAGGGAAAGAGTGGGCTGGACAGGGAGGGACAGGAGAGAACCAGAAGGAAAGTCCATGGGAGACTGCGGAGAGTAGACTGGGGAGCAGGTGGGCCAGTGGGGCGGAGGGGACTGGTGATACTCACAGCTGGTTGAAGGGCTGTCGGTGCCATCCAGTTCTGCCCTGGGAAAGCCACGCCCTGCATGGGCTGTGAGTAGCGCTGACTCGATGGCCCTCTCGTGGGCTGTGAGCACGATGGTGGGGGCCCGGCCCCCAGCCCCAGGGCCCGACAGGGTCTGCTGCATGAAGGCCAGCTTGTCCTTGGTCCTGCGTTTCATGTCATCCCATCTGTGCTTAATGTCCTTGACGGAGCGGGGCACCTGGCTGACGGAGGTGATTTTCCGGGCTATGCCTTCCCAAATCTTGTCCCTGTCAGCATGGGACAGCCGCATGGTCTCCCTCCCAAAGAGCACAGCTTCGTGGTGGGTCACCTCTGTGACAAGAATGTCCAGCTCCTCCTTGGAGAACTTGGGCTTCCTCTTACGCTCGGCCAGGTGTGCCACATTCCTTGGGTTGAATATCCCACAAAGCACATGGGGTAAATGACCGGCAACGCAGGTGGTCCTCCTCCTTCCTAATTGCTGGCCCCCAGCTGGAAAGCCAGGAGGCATCTGGGGCAACCTGGCCCCCACCACACCCTCCTCCTACCGAGAGGTCCCTTCCACTACTCCTCGGAGGGGAGGGTGGAAAGAAGAGACGGCGTTACATGGGAGGGAGCACTGGACTCAGAGTCAAAGGCCTCGGGTTCGGGGCCTGCTTTAGCTCTTACTAGCGGTAAGAGCTAGGGTGGTTCAAGTTCAATCTTTCCTGCCTCACTCTCCCTGTCCAGAATAATAACCACAAGCCTTTGGGGTTATCACTAAGGAGGGAAAAACACCATGATGTAAGGGGCTTAAAATTGCTTAAAGGTAGCAATAAAGGATCTTATCAAAATTAGGATTAGACCATTGCCTCTATAAAGCCATATTTACCTGCAGCCCTATAGCTGAATGCATGGCTCGGAAAAAGAATACGTCATAAGCAGGGAGATGATTTACACTGGGCTGCCATGGGGTGTAGAGCAGCTACGCCATGACTAGCGTGTGGCCACAGAAAGCTTATTCTGCCCAGAATAAGCTTATCTTCCCCTTCTCCTTCCCCTTCCTGGTCACTTCTCCAAGCCCCCACCTTTGCATAGGTGCAGGAAAACAGGTTTTCCTCCCATGGGAGTGCTTTTTTTGTAGGATGGGTTGCGGTGGCTTTTTGGTAGAATTTGAGGATCCCACAACTGTCCAGACGGAGACAAGTTCCACTTTGGTGGACACGAGGGGGATCTGGGATTCCCTCTCTACCGAGCAGCCACAGGCCTTGGGCAAGGGGCACAGCATGGCCCTTCCATCCCACGTGGTCCCTGCTCTGGCTTTGGAACTCGATTTCTCCACATCATGGCTCTGTCACCCTTTAACTAGAGATAAAAGGTTAAAAAAAATTCACCCAAGAGAGGACATGAGGGTGTGGAGGAAAGCTCAGAGCCCAATTCATTCCTTGAACTCTTCTGAAACCAGGAGGGGAAGGCCAGTGGCACAAGCATCCTTTAGCCCTCATCTTCCTACTCATGCACCGAAATTACCAGGGCCCAGAAGATGGGAAGAAGGCTGGGGCCTCATTGCCCAGTCCAAGATGGTGGCAGGGACATGGATTACACCTGGGACTACAGACTGTCTCCTTGAGCCAAGACATGGGACTCGTGTGAAGCCAGTCTCCTTCTCCATAAAACTAGCGTGATAATTCTAGTGTCATTGCCCAGGGCTATCAGGAGGAGTTTCTCACTCTTGCCACTATTGCAGTTGGGGCTAGATAATTCTTTGTGGGGAAGGAAGGGGTATCCTTTGTGATGCAGGATTTTATCAGTATCCTTGGCTTCTATCTGAAAACATCCAACTACCAAACATGTCTCCAGGCCTTGCCAAATGCCCCCAGGAGCACAAAATAGTGCCCAGTTGAGAAGCACTACAGGCAGATCACCTAGCGCAGTGCTGTTAGAAAGGCCAGCTCAACACGACAGTGTCTACTCCCCTCCTGGCCCACCATTAATTTTGTTAAGAAACTGAGTCCATTCAATCATCCCCAAGCCATGCCATGACAGTGCAAGGGAGAGCATGTGCAGATCCGAAAGAGCTACCAATGGAAACTGGACATGAAGGGGAAGGAGGATTCCCAGGATGTGCTTTCCCTCACTCCAACCATAGGAGGGGCATCTCCATGGCAACAAACTGCATCCCCAAACCCAACCTGCTCTTCGAGCGGTCATAAGATGAGAGCCCACCAGCTGTGACTACCCAGATGCCATCTTGAATCAGGACAGGCTGGGAGCAGAACAGAACAGATCCCATGCTAGTGAGGTGGCAGTAGCAGAACCTCCCAAATCCCTGCTCACCAGTGCCCATCCAGGCCCAAGAGGCCAGGCTTCACCTGGTCCTTTGTGCACAAGCAGGAAGAACACTGGCCTAGGATTCCAGAGCCAGGAGTTCAAATTCTCATTCTGCCACCCTGACTGCATGCTCTTGAGCAAGACCTCACCCTGCCCTGGATCTCAGTTTGACCACCGTGGCATGAAGATCCACACACAGCAGTGGTTCTCAATGCTAGCGGCACATTAGAATCACTAGCTTTAAAAATACCAAGGCCAGGGGCCCATCCCCAGCCCAATTAAGTCACAATCTGCAGTGCCAGAGGATAGCTAAGTTAGTTCGGATGATAACTCCCGTTCTTTGGAGTTGTGGGAAGGCCTTGTCCCCAAGGAGAAACATCAGACGTGGGTGAAAGAGTGGAACATATTCAGCTCTATGGGTAAAGCTTATGCCTTAAAAGCAACAGCACAGAAAGCCTGATTCCCCAGTGGACACACACACACTCTTCCCTGCTTGGCTGGAGCCAGGCTGCAGCCACAGGGCAGGTAGCACAGCGGCGCAGGCCGAGGGTCTAATCTGTGTAGCCACCCTATAGCCTGTCTAGACACCGCACCCCAGTGTCCTCAGACACAATCCTGGCCCCTTGGAAGGCCCACGTCAACAGACCCCTCCTCTTTCACCTGGGTCCTGCAGCACACTGTGGCTCAGAGCAAAAACTACACTGGAAAGTCATCTCTGTGGTGGGAGGTGTGAGCCTGGGAAAAAACAGTGGGGGTTGGAGCAGGGCTGCCTGATCCACCTCGGTACCCAGTACACAGTCTGACTTGAACTAGATGCTCAGTATGCAGCTGGTGAACTGTAAGTGCTCAGCTGACCTGGATCCCGTGGCAGTAAGAAGAGAAGGCAGTTTGGGGTGTCGAACCACCTCCCTGGGGTGTGTCTGATCGGCTGTGTGCAAGGAGGCTGGGGGCAGCGGGTGCTATTCTCCATAAGGCAAGGCAGAGGGCCTGCTCGTCTCTGGCACCTCTGTTCTGCACCCATCAAATGGCAATGAGAACACCTGCCCCAGCACATAAGACGGTGAACACTAAAGTGCTCTGGGAGGTGTGAACTGCTGCTCAGCCTCTCAGGGCTGTCTGATAGGAGTACAGGTGGGCAGTGGAGCCACTGGGAAGGGCACAGGAGCCCTCATCACACACTCCCCACCTCAAACCTGTTTCTCCTCATTTGCTCAGAAAGTCTCAGAGTTGAAGACAGCACCCCCCACCCTTAGGAAGTCCTCATCTGCCCTCTTTCCAAGCACAATCCCACCTCCAGCCCAAGACCTCATGGGTCATGGAACTGTACAAATGTCAGAAGAGGGCTCCAGGTCCATGGTTTGGCTGTGCCCCACACTCCAGACATCTGAGGCTTCCTTCCCTCCCACCCAGATCCAGATTCCCGGTCAGTGCTCCTAGGTCCCCAAAAGATGCCATCAAGCAGGCAACCGGGCATGTCGGGTCTCCCACGCCGTCCACAAACCCCACCTGGCAGAGCCCCTTGCACATGGCACAGACCATCAGCATCACGCTGGGCCTGTGGTTCCAGGCTCAACTCAGCCATCCCCAGGGGACCCTGGGCCAGTCTCCTGCCTCCTCTGGCTGGCATTTACGGAAACTTCTGGTGCAAACTTTTGTCCCAAACACTGGAACAGGATAAAGTTCACTCTTCAAAGTACTCAAACTTAGGCAGCAAGCACTGTCAAAAACTGAGCTGGAAACTTTGTCAGAAGCCCTCTCTTCCATGGAGGCTGTTTGAAATGCTGGGGCTGCACTGGGGCGTTTCTCACACCACTCCTGCAGGCACCTGCTCTGAGAAGGTGTCATGGTCCTAGGTGGGGGACATTCTCCCCTTCTTCCCCAGGAATGCTGTCAGGAGCCTGGGCCCAGGTCCTCCTGACACACTGCCAAGTGAGCAGCCCGAAGGGTCCCTGCATCCCAACAGCCTGGACACAGGCAGTCCTCTAGAGACCCCTGATGGAGGCCTAGGGGAAAAGGTGGGTCCTTCAGAGCTAGATGCATCCCAAACCCTACAAACGGCAGTCTCTGGGCCTCCAGAGTCCTCCACCACTGGAGATCCCATAGAACCAACACACTCCCTTGGCTCCTTTCCAGAGGCCAGGCAAGACCCCCAGGACATCAGCAGAGTGGGGCTCACCTCATCCAGTTGGCTTTGGTCTCGTCTGAGCCATCTATGGACTTATAGCGGTTGTTCTTGTCCACAATCTGGAAGAAAGAGAGAGAGTCTAGGATGGCCATTCTAGAGGAGCTCTCATGTCTCTGGGCTCCTTCCCAACCAGGGCCCAGGGCCTGGTCCTACCTGCTGCCACCCCCTTCCCCTGAAATGTCATCACTGCTACAGAACTGAAATGCAGGCTGGGTTCAGAATCCCTGCTACCTATCCTCCACCCATTCCCATTCTCCTAGAGACACTGGGGAGCCCATCCTCCTAGATACACAAAGCCCTTCACACGTGTTTTGAATTCCTGGGAGATGGGGAGCAGACAGATGGGACCATCTCCCTCCTCTGTCTTGATGGAATAGTCAGCAACATGGCTGACAAGGGGCATTTCCACTGGCCTCCAGTTGCAACTACAAAGACTAAATCAGTCCTTCTCTCTTCACAGTTTCTGTGGGAGACAGAGGCCACTGCTGGATGACTGAGCACATGTGATTTGAGAGGGTTCCTCCTCTCCCCAACCTCTAAATGTTCGAGAGCCTCAGGGTTTGAAGCTGGGCTGCTTTCTCTTTTATTTCATCATCACTCTTTAATCAGAGTTCAGCTGGGTATGAAATTCTAGGCTAAGCTTTATTTTCTTTCAGCACTCTGAAGATTACTAAAAAGACTGCCACTGGCACAAAAGCAACAGCTGTCAGTCTCATGTTGTTCTTTTGTGGGTAATCCTGCCTGTGGTAAATTTTAAGACTCCTTTTACTCTTGATTTTCTGCAGTTTTGCTACATAATTTTGAAGTGGAGATTTACTTCTCTGAAATTCTCCTTATTACTTGATTAACACCTTTCAACTCCAAGACTCATATATTTTTCAATTCTGGAAAATTCTCAGTCATTAGACTTTTGAGTAACGGCTTCTCAATCATTTTCTCTCCTCTCCTTCAGTAAAGTTTCTGTTAAACAGGTATAAGAGTAGCTCAATCTATCCTCCACGTCTTTTAATTACTCTTCTGTATTTTTCCCTATCTTTCTGGGCACTCTCTGGAAAAATTTATCAGAACTCTCTTCCAGTCCACTAATTATCTCTTCAGCTGTGTCTATTCCAGGGTTTCACCCATCTACTGAGGTGTTTCCATCTTTCTTTGCTCCCTTTTTTAATGAGTATCTTTATTTTGATGAATATTTTTAATTCCCAGAATTTTTAGTGTTTTGCAGGTCCATCCTTTTATTCACCCTGCCTCTTTTCATTTCATAATGATATGTTCCTTCTTTTTCCTTTTCTAACAGCTTTACTGAGGCATAAATGACATATATAATGTACGTTTTGACACATGAGCTAGATCAGGGTTGGTCCCCTGAGGACTCGGTGAAGCAGAGACTGGGAGAATTCCTGGGAAATAGGAAACAGATGGATAGTCACCTACCTAACCTGATGCCATTCATAAGCCTCTATCAGTCCCTTCAAAGCAGCAGAGAAGTATTTAATCAAGGTAAAACCACACCAGCTCAAGATGGCTGCACTTACAATAACACTCATATTTATGGCCACAGCCTTCATAGCCCACAGCCTGCTCTCCAACTTACCCTGGGCCTCTCACTACCTTTTCACTTTTCTGCAGCCTTGATACCCTGAGAGTGAGCCTTAAAATTGTCTGGTTCCACTGCCTAGAGCCTCTTTTATCTACCCTTAAAAATAACAATAATCAGGAAATATTTCAAGCATTCAGAAATTATAAAGAAGAATGTAGCTGACAACTCTGTGCCCACCAGCTACAGCAACAAAAATTAACATGAGTTATATTTGTCTCAGGCCTCTCTCTCCTTTTGCTTCAAGAAAATGCTGAGATGCAGTGGAAGACCCTCTCTGCCTCCAATTTCTCTTTCCCTTCCTCCTTCTAAGAGTAACCACCATCCTGGAGATGATGGGAAGCCTTCCCATTTTTATGACACAAGGACTTTTCTTGAACTTGAACTCCCGACCTCAGGTGATCCGCCCGCCTTGGCCTCCAAAGTGCTTGGATTACAGGTGTGAGCCACCACGCCGGGCCTGACACAGGACTTTTCTTTTTTTTTTGAGACGGAGTTTCGCTCTTGTTACCCAGGCTGGAGTGCAATGGCGCGATCTCGGCTCACCGCAACCTCCGCCTCCTGGGTTCAGGCAATTCTCCTGCCTCAGCCTCCCGAGTAGCTGGGATTACAGGCACGCGCCACCATGCCCAGCTAATTTTTTTGTATTTTTAGTAGAGACGGGGTTTTACCATGTTGACCAGGATGGTCTCGATCTCTTGACCTTGTGATCCACCCGCCTCGGCCTCCCAAAGTGCTGGGATTACAGGCGTGAGCCACCGCGCCTGGCATCACAAGCACTTTTCAAAGAACAACACACAGGATTGTTTGCATGTGCGTAAAGTTTACAGAAATGGCACCCAAGTAAACATATCCTTTTCTAACTTTTTTCCCACTAAGCTTTGAGTATGTGGTCCCTTCTTAGCTTTTGGGTCTCAGATTATGTCAGCTCCACAAAAAAAGCCTTTCTAGCCTTGGACCTAAAGGAAGTTCTTCCTTGCTACACCTCAGCCTCCATATCCCCAGCCTATCATGGCATCGTCTCTGTTACATCATCCTGTAACTTCCCTTAGGAGGCCTAATTACAGTGAGCATTTTGTTGATATCTATTTGCCAACTTGGGAACTGACTGGCTCCCTGGCTAGACCTTAAGCTAATGAGCACAAAGTACATGGCTGCTCTAGTCACGATGGTGGCCTAGGTTCCTAACACAGGGAAGGCATGGCACATGGTGGAATATTGGTTGGATGAATGACTGGATGAAGAGCGTTTTAGTTAAAAAGCAAGTTAAAGGGAAAAAGTTGGCTGAGAGCAAAGCTCACACCTGTAATCCCAGCACTTTGGGAGGCTGAGGTCAGAGAATCGCTTGAGCCCAGGAGTTTGAGACTAGCCTGAGCAACATAGCAAGACCCTGTCTCTACAAAGAATTAGCCAAGTGTGGTGGTACATGCCTATGGTCCCAAATGCTCAGGAGGCTGAGGCAGGAGGACTGCTTAAGCCCAAGAGTTTGAGGCTGCACTGACCCGTGATTGTGCCACTGCACTCCAGCCTGGGTGACAGAGCAAGGTCATGTTTCTAAAAGAAGAAAAGAAAAGAAGAAAGAAGCAAAGAAGGAAGGAAGGAAGGAAAAAAGAAAGGAAGGAAGGTAGGAAGGAAGAAAGAAGAAAAAATTACAAAATATTAAGATTTTAGTAAAAATGAAATGAGTGCTATGCCAGAGCCAGCTTATACTGAGAACCAACTGTTAAATTTTCAGAAATTTTGTGAACCAGTTGTTAAACACAGCCATTAAAAATTAAATGACATAAGCTTACAATTCAGTAAATGATACGTTTGTAAAAGGCAATAAATACTCAAAACTTAACCACTTCTCAATTATCTGACTACATTTGACTGACTATTCTCTATGCTCTTGAGGGTACTGGCCTCTATTGTAGCTGCATAGTAGAAATAACATATGATAGTTGTGATTGCACATTTCTTCCCAACTGCACATCCAGTGATTTCATGTTAGTAGTTTGAAATCAGCCATGGGGGGAGCATTTACACCATGGAAATTGGCACTTATCCTCACCAACACCATCAGTTGTTAAACATCTACCAGCAAACCACTACACATGTTTATATGAGCACAGAAAGTCTAGGAGGTACATTTCAAACTCTCAACTCTCGTTACCTCTAGAGGGGAGGAAAGAAGGAGGCAGGGATGCTTTTGCTTTATTTGTCCATGAGACTATACTGACTCTGTGTTTTAAAAAATCCCAGAAAAATAAAAAGAGAAAACATGTAACTCAGGCTTCCCCTCCCATGGCAGTCTCCTCAGGTGATGCCCCAGTCTGCAGGGACCCTCCCCTGGAGTCTCAGAGCACCCTGGACTTTATCATAACACTACTTCCCCAACATTATCATTTCTGATTGCTCCCCTCTCTTCTGGGGGAAAAGAGAAGCATCTCTAGGTCCCACAGCCAGTAGCAGGAGCACACAGACTGTAGTAAGAGCCATGGAGCCAGAGGAGTTGACTAGAATTTCAGCTTCAGTGCACACAAGCTGAGTAGCTTTGGGCAGATGACTTTACGGACCACGCCTCAGTTTCCTCATCTATAAAATGTGATAAAAACCAGCCTGCAGCACTGCTGTCATAATGAAAGTGGAAGACACTCAGTGAATGGTTACTGTTAGCATTGGGATCATAATTGAGATTATTAAGAGTTCAAATATTAGTTATTACTAATTTAGGGTGGTGGGAGCCCTGTGGGTCAACACCAAGTGGTGATAAGTCTTGGCAGTTTCATCTGGACAGAGAGGCCTGGGTGAGGGCTGTGAAAGACAGAGGAACTACCTGAGACCTCTGTCTGCTGGGTTCAGGTCTAGAGTTTTTCTGAGGGGTGTTTTTTGGCTTATCTTTCCCATCAATCAGAATTTTCTCAAATCAAGCACTTATTCATTCATTCATCAAACCAGCAAACATCATGGAGGGAGTAGGCACAGTGGCAGGCTCTGGGGATAGAATGGTGACCCAGGCAGAGAATGTCTTTGCTCTTAGAAAGCTCACAGCCTAGTGGGACACAGAGGAGAGGCCACTGTGATACGGCATGGCCAGAGCCATGGTGGGGAATTATGTGGGATCATTGGATCTCTGAGCTGGAGCCCTGGACCTGGGAGTCTGTTGAGGACCTTTCTTGGGGACATGGAGTATAAGCTGAGATCTTAGATCTAAGACACAGATGGTACCCTGGGCAGAGGGTGCAGGGCAGGCAGGATCTCACACGGCCTGTGGATCACGTTACATACCACTGATGAACCCAGGCCACCCTGAGTAGAGAGCAGACTGAGATGGGTCCAGGAATGGCAGCAGGGCTCGATGCTCAGGAGCAGCCCCCAGAAGGCTGGTCACCCGGTGTCTTCCCTTGCCTTATCCCTCAAGGTCAACTCCTTCGTCCCTCTGAACTTAGAACTTTGGACCAGCCAGAAGCTCTGAGCACTGTG